ACCAATCAGTCTGTGGGCATCTCTGGGTTCCTTGTGAACTCACAGACCCCATCCTGGAATGAGGTACCAGGGAAGAAGAGGGAGTGGGTGCATGGCACATAGCCCACAGAGCAGACACAATTCCTGCCCTCCTAGGTTTGAGAATATTCAGATATTACCTTAGCGGCTGGCCGATTGCCTGCTGTATGCCATACCACATTCTTGATGACCATCCTCCTTATTGCTTCAGGAAGGATTAGGGCCCTGACTACCGCAGCAGCCTCCTAGGGTGTCTGAACCCTGAGGGGCAGCTGGGCAAGAACTATTCCATCCTTGTCAGAGAGCCACAGAGAGGGACGTGTTGTGCCCTAAGCTCACTTATAAGAGATGAAACCAAGACCCAGGCAGCTCTGTGGGGGTGTAACAACACCCCACCCCAAGTATGCAGACTTGGTACGGTTGTCCTTTGTGAGCACAGCCATGGGCTCTGGGAGGAGACCCTGTGTCCTCCCCCACACCCAGCCAGCATGGCACTAGATGGAGATTCCTGTCCCTCTGGCTCTGGGGAGCCTCACCCTCTCTTCTGGGGCCATGGTGTCACATTAGGGCTGGACCCCTCTCTCTTGACTTTTTTTTTACTGGGTCACCCTGGGAGCATCCTGGCTCTCACAGGAAGCTGCAGTGCCCCAGGCCTTGTGGAGACAGGCTCTGAGTGGGGCCATGGGGCCTGGCTGCTGTTCCTTTGACAGCCTCCAGTCCCAGATTGGAGTGGGGGAAACTGCCTGTAAGATGGACAATGACAGTGTGGGCAAACTGGCTCGGGGTTGCCATGCTGGCACTGTGGGAAGGTGGAGGCACTTTTCCTTGAATGAGTTTGTTGGAGTGAGGGTGAGGAAGCTCGTTGCTAGCAGGGTGTTCTGCTCAGGCCTTTGCTGCCCTTAAGTGGGACCCCCAGAGTTCTGCCCTGAGCTTCCTAGCCACAAGATGGACATTAGGGGGTAGGGCTAGGAATGCTTCCTCAGGCATGCATACAGTGTGGGTGTTCCCCGTGAATGCACTGTGGGAGTGCTGACCACGCTCCAGGGGGCAGGGTGTGGGAGCGATGAGCCTACCAGGGACAGACAGTTTGAAGTGCATCTTGAGGTGTGAGTTGTGGCTCAGTTGGGGGATTTGGGGATGTGGTGGAGGGAATGGTGGTGAAGGCAGGAGGAGCCTACAAGTGGAGGAGCCCAGGCTACAGAGACTAGAGAGGCTAGTGGGAGATGTGAATGGGCTCCAGTGGGAAGAACGCACTGAGGCCATGGTGGAGATTTGCAGAAGGAACAGGCAAGGCTGGTGCTGATCTAGCAAACCTCCCACCCCACCTTTAACCGCACCTAGCAGCCCACCTGCCTCTGCACCCAGCCGCTGGGCTGGAGAGATATGGAGAGAAGAGGGAGCGGGTTCTGGCATGGAATGGTTGCTGCTGACCCCAAGGAGGAATTTGTTGTCCTGAAGCTTCGTTGGGCCCACAGTCGTCCCCAACTTCTCTACTATGTGCAGTAATCTTGGGGATCTTGTTAAAATGCAGGCTTTGATCTAGCAAGTCTAGAGCAGTGGGATGCTACATTTCTACAAGCTCTGGAGAAGCTGCCCTGGCTGCTCTGGAGTCAAGGTATATGACTGTCCTGTCCACCAGGATGGGAACTGCCTTTTATCCAGGGATTTATCCCTACTGCCTGGCACCACACCTGCTTCATAGGTGGGCAATTAGCAAATAAGAGTAAGAGAATGAGTGAGTGAGTGAATGAACAAATAAACAAATGAACGAGTGTGAATGAAGCACACCTTCCCTGATATCAGGCAGGCCCATTCAGAGAATGACAAAGGTCAGAGCCACCGAGGACACTTTCTGCATTCCCTTGATGAGACTGCTTCCTCTAGCACAGACTGGGCTGGGGTGGGAGTGGGTGGGACACTAAATATTAACCTCACACTGACCGCTGACTGGTGAGCAGCTGAAATCCCATCGTTAGTTAGGTTTATAATCCCGGCCTTCCCTCCAGAAAATTTGATGGAAGTTCCTGGCAGGTAGCATAACTTTTGTGTTTGGCCAGCCTAAGGCGGGGAGGTGGTGAGACCATTTTTGCTGATAACCGTCTGGCTTGCTTCCAGGTATTTCATAGGATCACATAAAATCTTTCGATCATTCTGTTATATATAGGGGGTTTCAAAATGGGCAGGATAGGCTTATTGGAGTTACACTGAAATAATGTAGCTTCCAAATAAACTTGGTGCCCAGGTGGCTGCTGTGTACTTGAAATAGTGTACTTTGCCTCACCACTATTCCCCTGGTTTGTTGGAATAGGTTTCCTCTGCTTTTGTTCTCCTGGCCTAAATAGTTTTATATTTTAAAACAAATTTGTAAATAAGAATGCCCACGTTAATTTTAAGCCGGTATCAAAAGTGGGTGTTCCTTTTCCTGACTTAAAAGAACTCTCTGGGAAGGAACTGACTTGAAGCACCTTTGCTTTAAAAATGGAGCTTAGGAAAGTTTTTCATGTTGGCAGTTAGAGGGGCTGGTGACCCCTCTGTGTTTGGAAGAGGTGGCCTTGTGCCTATAACATACCACAGTCCCTGTGGGCGGGTACCACAGAGGAAGTGCTTGCAGCCCGGCAGCCCCAGGGTGAACTGGAAGCCTCCATTTTCTGACAGCACCTGAACCCTACCTCACTTCTCAAAATGAAGGCTGCTTGTCACAAACCGGTTAGAACTGGCTGTTGCCATGGTTTTCACGTTGGAAGGCACAGTTAAAGGGTCATGTGACCAAGGAGGGAAATGCCTTTGTCACATGACTTTTTGGTGGCCTGATTAGCATACAGGAAGTTCACTCCCTGCTGGCTGCTGGGATGCTGAGTGATCATTGATGGAAGATGACATCATCTCTTGGACGAGTTATTGATTAGTCTCATCCAAGATGGGACCTGGGAGTGCTGTGGTCAGAGTGGCCATCTCAGGGAGCTTCAGCCTCCAAATGGCCTCGGTCCCTCACCGTGTCCTCTTCCCTCAGGCAAATTTCAGTTTTATTATACATCTCACCTTCAGAAGTGCATGCCCTTAGTGAGATGATAAAAAGTGATTAATCGCTGTAGGTCACTGTAATCTCAGCGCACACTTGCTCAGGAAATGCCTGCTGTCTAAACCTTCATGTGGTTCTGCTTGGGCTCTTTGCTTCCTCTATGTGCAGCCACCTGGAGCCTACCTAGGCCAGGCCAAGACTAGCACCAAAGTTCCTATGCTGGGGCCTTGCATCTTCTTGATGTCTGTGTGCACATCCAGAGAACCTGGGATTGGAGCCCCTAAGTCACTTTGAGAGTTGGTCTTGGGTGGAATGGACAGCTAGCAGGGAGACAGAGACTAGAAAAAGCAGTGGTTCCTCAATTGCATCGGTCTTTGATTTATGAGGCCTGAGTGAGATGTCTTGAATAACTTTATAAACAGCAGGCAGTTTCTGGACTTGAGAATGCAGTCTGATAACCCCAATGAGGGGTTGTATAACTTGAAATAGGTGTTTTTTTGTCCACTCCCCTGGTTTCTTGTGAGAGGCCAGCTGGCAGTTAGTTGTGCTGGTTAAATCAGATCAGGACTAGGAATGTTGAGGTGCAGCCACCAGGCAGCTGTGGGAATCAAGGTTAGGATTGGCTAGTGTTGGGATGGGAGTCTGGGGTCCAGGGGTAGTCAGAGAATCCTCAGGGTCTGGTCCTCTGTGAAGGCGCGCCTCCCTCCAGGAATAGAAAAGGTGGTTCAGTGGGCTATTCAAACACCAGTTCTCCATCTGTACTCTGCCCCTGCTTAGCTGGGATGTAAGTAAGGGCTTGAAAGAGTGGGACAACTTTGAGCTTCCAGTTAACTTCATCAAGTTTGTTCTCTGGGCCACAGTGCCACCTAGTGGATGTGTTTGATCCTTGGTTGGTTTTGCAGCCGTTGAAAGGAAGAATCCGATTTTCCTTCAGCACAAGTGCTGAGGCCAAATCTTAAGGGAAAGTTTACATTGTGCTATCAGCAAACAGAACTGCTTGGTTGGGAGTGAAGTGCTGTCTCTGGGACCCATTGGTCCTGTGTGTGGGGTCAGTGATGCTGTAGCAGAGGCTCAAGTGTGTATATGTCTTAGGGCAGGGGTCCCCAGCCCCTGGGCTACAGACTGGTACCAATCCATGGCCTGTTAGGAACTGGGCTGCAGTTCCTAATGTAAGGAGGTAAGCAGTGGGCCAGCAAATGAAACTTCATCTGTATTTGCAGCCGCTCCCCAGCACTAGCATCACCACCTCAGCTCCACCTCAGATCATCAGGCATTAGATTCTCATAGAAGCACCAGTCCCTTGGTGGTCACTGTCTTAGTGGATTTAGGCTGGGCAGGGGTGGCTTTGGCACCAGATCAGTCCACCTACTGTTAGAGTATGGGGGTTAGGGGTTGCTGGACACCAGTTTATGAGCACGTCATCAAGTAGGTGAAGAGTATCCAGATGTGCGAGAGAAAATGTGCTGCATGTTCTTCTAGTCTGTTTCAAAACATGCAGCTACTCCTTCCATGTTGCCACTGGCAGGATGAAGAGGCCATGTGTGGCCCAGGAAGAATATCCAGCAGGCAGCCTCAGCCAGGATCTAGAGCCAAGTGTTTTTAATCCAACACCTAGCCACATGGTAGAAAAAGGAATGGTGGTGGTTTCCAAAATGTTTTTGTCACCTTCAGGCACAGGAGTGTCCTCATCCCTGGGGGCATGGAGGTGGGCACCAAGAGCTGTCCCAGCTGGGAGGGGTGCCGTGTGGTGAGTGCAGTTAGAGAAGACAGCCTGGGTGGGTGGTAGGGAGGCCATCAGGGAAGACACAAGGAGAAGAGACTGTGGAGGCCCGTGGGGCACTTGTGCTCATCACCTTGCTGTGTCTGTATCTTAATCTGGATAACTGCAGGATGTGAGGCCCTGGGGACAGTATCCAACATAGTTAAGATGCTCTGGTAACAACCTACTATTCGTCCTCCACAGTGACATGAAGTCCGAAAGGAGAGCCCCCTCACCCGATGTGATCGTGCTCTCTGACAACGAGCAGCCTGTGAGCCCGAGGGTGAATGGGCTTCCAAAGGAGACCTTGCAGGAGACCAGCACTGAGGCCCTCATGGTGAGCCTTGTCCCACTGCTGGGGACCACCCCACCCAGTGACATCCCTGAGTGCAGCTATTAACAGTGAGGCCTGTGCTCCCAGCTGCTGGACCTCCTCTTCAACCCTGTTCTCTTTTGCTGACAGAAAAGCAGCCCCGAAGAACGAGAAAGGATGATTAAGCAACTAAAAGAAGAGTTACGATTAGAAGAAGCAAAGCTCGTTTTATTGAAAAAGTTGCGGCAGAGTCAAATACAAAAGGAAACCACCACCCAGAAGGTGTGTGCATGTCTGTTCCCTCCTTGAGGATCAATGAGAGCCATTCAGAGTCAGGTTGGAAAGGTTTCCCCGGGTGCGTGAGGGCTGAGGTCTGAATAGAAACTTGCAGGCTGAAGTTTGAGTTTCTGATTTAGCCAAAAGGATGTCAAAGTGAAAAGATATCGGAGTATTACTCAATCTAGAATGTTCCAGATCTGAATACGTAAAACAACTCCCTATAAAAGCATCAAGCTAATGGAATGCAGATAGGTATCTGAAGCTGCTGGAAACACACTTCTGTCCCAAGCCCGTTTGCAGAAAGGCCTCCTGCCCTGTGGCTGGCTGTGCTGGCCAGCAGAGGCTGCTGTGGGATTGTGTCCTGGGGCTCCTGCTCCTGCTACCTCCCCTGGTCCCCAAAGCTCTTTGCAATGCTGCTTCAAGCACAATTTACCAGGTGGAACAGGTTCATGTTTGTTTTGTTAGGTTTCTGGGAAGCTTCCTGGTCAGTAATGCAGCTGCCTTCCTGTTTACCATAACCACTGTCACTAAACCAGGAAGTGAATATATATCGGGCAGGACGGCTGACAGTATGTAGAATACATGTCCTCTAAGGGAGAGCAACAGAAGGACGCTTACTGATCTGACTTGGGAGTTTGCTTGAGCTCTCTCCCTACCCGTTTGGCAAGTGGACTCTGCCTGACCTCTGTTAATCTCACGGTGAACAGAGCCTACCTGTTACTTGTTTCCTCGTCAGTTGTTGAAGACACAGTGAAGTGACCCAAGTTTGTCACTATCCATTCCATAATGGAATATATGACTTTAAGAATCCCACAGTTGGGATTAACCAACCTGTCCAGGCCCCAGGTCCTTTCTCATCGTCAGTCCAAGCCAGCAGCTGAACCACAGAGTGATGCCAAGAGTCTCCAGGGGGTGAGGAGAAAAGCGCTCCTCTGCCCATTTGAACATGTCTTTTCCTGCTGCAGATAGACGGGGGCCACTTACCAGGCTGGAAGCAGAACCTTTGAGAGCCTGGGACCTTTGGAGGAGGAAGAAAACCAATCCTCTGTCAGGATTACATGGTGGGGTATAGGGCTGGTGGCCTTCTCATCATCTGTGTCCTGCTCTCTTGCAGCCCGCAGGCTCCGCTGGGAGCACCGTGACCACCCCTCCCCCGCTTGTTCGGGGCACCCAGAACATTCCTTCCGGCAAGCCATCACTTCAGGTCAGTTTCCCTCTTCATCGGGCTCCTGAGCCACCCTGAGAAAGGCTACCCATTCTTTCTGATTAAACTGAAGTTTTCCTGCCAGTGGCCCAAAAATAAAAGCATGTTCATGCTCCAGACTAGGCCACTGTTGACATCATAAATCACATGGGAGGCCCCCTCCATGACTGCCCCTGGCAAGACAGGAGAGGGGACTAGGATCCTACCTAGACAGACTGAGCTCCCTTTGTTTTGAGTCTCCCAGGGGCAATTTTGGGGCCTGGCTGGGCCTTGTCTCAGCGGGGCTCAAAGCTTCCTCTCCCCACAGGGTGAGACAGGCAGAGTTCTCACCCTCAGCCACAGGACTGAGGTCTCAACAGGAGCCTTGCTCCCCTCAAACTGTCCCAAGCCCCCAGCTCACACCAGCAGGTGGCGGTGCCAGTAGTGGTTGGCTAGACTCTTACTGTGGTGTGTCCTGTGTCCTGACTGAGCCCAGGTTTATGAGGCTCATGTTGGAGTCTGTGTTCCTTGTTCTGTATTTTTTCTCCTACTCCCTCCTTTTTTTTGTTAAGTATGTGGTTTTACAGAAACAGCAAACCTGTTTGTTAAAAAAAAAAGTCATGTAAGATCTAGGGATTGGTGTCATTGACAGACCTCTTCGACTCGAATGCCTGGCAGTGTCATTCCACCACCCCTGGTTCGAGGCGGGCAGCAGGTGTCCTCAAAGCTGGGGCCACAGGCGAGCTCACAGGTCGTCATGCCCCCACTCGTCAGGGGGGCCCAGGTGAGCAGGGTGCATGCTCAGGACAGGAATACAGCAGGGCAGCCCCAAGTAACCATCTACCTTGTGAGAATGACCTGTCTCAATCCTCAGGCTGGGGGCTGTGGAGCCCAGCCCTTCTCTGCCTCCCTCCATGGTCCATCATTGTCTTGTCCCCACCCCACAGCAAATCCACAACATCAGACAACATTCCAGCACGGGGCCACCACCACTTCTCCTGGCCCCCCGGGCATCTGTGCCCAGTGTGCAAATCCAGGGGCAAAGAATCATCCAGCAGGGCCTTATTCGCGTCGCCAACGTCCCCAACACCAGTCTGCTCGTCAACATCCCGCAGGTAAGTGTCATGCTGTGCCAGCCTGGGGAGTGCACCATACAGCTGTCCCTGAAAGGGCCCATGGTCCTGAGCCACAGTGGGGTGGTTCAGCATAACCTACCTGCTCCCTCAGAGTCAGGTGAGGCCTCAGGAGGCCCCATGGTATTTGGACTTGAGCTCCTTGGGACCTTTCAGGCATGAAGGTTGCAGGCAGGAGTCCTGTGTTCAGATCTGCCTCATGACAGAGGTAGAGAGCTGTTGAGAGGGAAAGGGTTGCAGACATGAGCGGAGCCATGGGGAGGCTGAGGGGTTGTGGGAGGCAGGTTTGGCGGGGACAGATGAAACCAGGTGAGGCGTCTGATGAGCCTGGAGACAGCTAGGGGGCACCAGAGCCCTCCCCACCCTCCCCCTTTCAGGCACAAGCATGTGAGGAGAGCGTGTCTGCTGATGTCCTCATAGTACCAGCACATCTATTCTTAGCCACACATCCCTTCACCTCTGGACAGAGCCTCTGAGATGGGGCGGATCTGTCCTCACCAAGCAGAGCCAAGAAGACAGCAGGACTAGGGGAGGAGGGCAGGCTGGAAGCAAGAGCTTCATTGACAGATAAAATTACTGGGTCTGCAGGGACTTTTGCTGATGGGTGAGTTAGCTTCTCTACTGCCATTGGCCTGGTGCATCCTTGCATAGCTTCCTCCAAGAACCCAACCCTCAGGGCTCTGAGCAGTGTCCCTGCCTCCTCTAGGTGGGATTCAAGTGCAGTACTTCTACCACATGAGGTTGTCCTGGCAGTTCATTTACCCCATAAACCTCGATTGTACCCCTTTCGTGTGCCAGACCCTGTTCCTGGCTTAGTGTGCCAGGAAAATGGAAAGCAGGCACGGTGTGGGGTTCTGCTGCCTATGGGGTAAAGAACCTGAGAAGGAAACAAGGAGGAACTTGCTGATTGGTCAGTAGGGGGTTGGCCAGGCCAAGGTGCTGCAGTGGTATCCTTTATTTTAGGGAGCCTCGTCAGCTCCGGAGACCCACTGTGGGAGTAGAGGTCCTGGGAAAGCATCCCATGCTTCCCAAGCTTTGTGATGAATTTTGGGCTAGTTGTCAAGTGTGTGCATTTTCCTGGGGATGGTATATGCAGCTTTCCTCAGATTTCCAGGAGGTTCTTCAGCCTAACAAAGTTAAAGGAACTGGCATGGTCAGCTCCATGTTTTGGAGAGAGCACTTGACAGTGTTGGGAGTCAGTGGACTGACTGGAGCAAGGAGATGATGGAATATCAGCCCCTGGGGCCAGACAAAGATGAGAAAGTAGCGCAGGATCAGCAAGAGTTGAGAGGGGAGAAGGGCAGGGGCTGGTGCAGGAGCTATATTTTCTCTTGCAACTCTGATGAGGACACATGAGGTGACTAAAACATTAGTGTTTCCTAACAAACACACATAAAGATGCTCACAAGGGAAATGCCACAGATGCTGCTTGAGCCACCATTGCACTCCTGCAAGGAAGGAGACCGCCCAGACCTATGCTGGAAGGAGGGCCAGGCTGTAGAATCAGGACAGTGGCCATGCTGCCTGGATGGGTGTCAGGAGGCCATAACTGAGGGAGTGCCCATTGTCCTGGTTAGGGAGTGCCCATTGTCCTGGTGGCTTCATGGGTGTCCTCCTGTGGCAAAATGCAGCATATTATAGATTTTAAACATGTACAGTTTATCGGATATCAAGCCTCAGGAAGCATGCTTATGAAATTGGTTCTTGCTCAGGCTGAACAGTTTAATGCTACGCTGCCTGCTGCTCACAGGTGTCAGGCAGCTGGGAATTTCTATCTTAAGGACTCTATCAGTGCAGATAATGGTGCTGACTTGGGCAGTGGGTGCAGCGATGGGTCCTGCCTCAGGGTGGGGTGCCCCTAGTACCCTGACCAGGTTGTTGTCTCCCAAAAGCCCTCCCAAGCCTCGCTGAAAGGGACGACAGCCACTTCTGCTCAGGCCAACTCTACCCCCACCAGCGTGGCCTCCGTGGTCACGTCTGCTGATTCTCCAGCCAGTCGACAGGCAGCCGCCAAGCTCGCACTGCGCAAACAGCTTGAGAAGACGCTGCTTGAAATCCCCCCTCCCAAGCCCCCCGCCCCAGAGATGAACTTCCTGCCCAGTGCTGCCAACAACGAATTCATCTACCTGGTCGGCCTGGAAGAGGTGGTACAGAATCTGCTGGAGACTCAAGGTGAGTGGGCCTTGTGCTAGGGCTGTTTTTATCTCTTGCCGCTGAAGTTTCTGTTACATAGGGGTTTTTTTTCAGTGCACAGCACATGTCAGTGCACCTACAGTGTACCTAGAGTTATCTTGAAATGCGGATATTATGGATAATGTTTTGTCATTAGTTCTGCTTGCCGTGAGGTGTGATAGCTTCTTAAACACATTGCAGGCACCTTTCTTGTTAGGGCATCTTGAGAGCCAAGGTCCAAGGTCTCGCACATATGGTCCAGGGGGACAAGCAGTGGCCCTGTGGTGTTGGTGTGCTGTGGGGCAGATGGGCGGTCAGTGAGGAGGGGTGCCTGTGGGAGGCTGACGTGATAGGCTTTGCTTCCAGGTAGGAAGTCATCACAGAGGTGGAAGTTCCCAGAGCCTGGAGTGCTCAGAGCCCCCAGCGTGGGAGAGTGGGGATATCGACACCAGAGCCAAACTCGCTCGATCGTTATCTTTGGAAACAGTTTAGAAAGCACATCTGAGTGTTAAGTTTTAGGAATAAAAGGGTATAAACAGGATAGTAATCAAAACCAATACTAGAAAAGAAGTAGAGGCCATGTTGGCCATTAGGGAGCCTTCACCAGACACTGAACTGAGGATACTTGTGCCCTGAGATGGAGCTGGTAGTGACATTAATTGGTCAGCCAGCCTGAACACTCTTCTTATATGATCTTATCAGATCCTCAGAGCTGGGGAGGAGGCAGGACCATAACTGGTCCAGGGGAACAGGGGAGGAGCTGATGGGCTCTACCTGTTAGGCCGCCTTGAGGGACCACAGGGCTCCAGAGCCAGGCCCAGTGGGGAAGGGTGCAGGCTCCCTTTGGTGTCTCCTTTATGAGGTGATATTATTGGCAAAAGAGTTATTCCAAGGCCAGTATAGGAAGGATGGATGGGAAGCCAAGTCGGGACTTAATGCCTCCTTGTTCTTGCACTGTGAGTGGCAAGGCAATCAGCAGAAGCCAAGCCAATGGCACTGTTTTTGAGAGTTCATACCAAGGATGCCTAACCCATGGCATTTCCAAAGCTTTGGCTAGCAAAGCTTCCATGAGGCTGGCCCAGTGTCTGCACATAGTCAGTGCCTAATACGTTTTTGCGGAAAGAACAGATGATGTTGACTGACGCTTTGTTTTTCTGATGCCCACTGGGCCACATGGCCCAGGGCACTGTTCCTGCTCTGTCACGCACCTCACTTGGAGGTGGTGGGGGTTCTGACAGTGTCCTGTTCTTTGATGTGAGCCTACTCTTCTTCCCCTGCAGCAGGCAGAATGTCAGCGGCTGTAGTGCTGTCCCGGGAGCCCTACATGTGCGCACAGTGCAAGACGGACTTCACGTGCCGCTGGCGGGAGGAGAAGGGTGGCGCCATCATGTGCGAGAACTGCATGGCGTCCAACCAAAAGAAGGCACTCAAAGTGGAGCACACTAGCCGGCTGAAGGCTGCCTTCGTGAAGGCACTGCAGCAGGAACAGGAGATCGAGCAGCGTCTCCTGCAGCAGGGCACTGCTCCTGTGCAGGCCAAAGCTGAGCCTGCCACCACCACCCACCCCGCGCTGAAGCAGGTGAGTCCTTGTCCGGGAGCCAGAAACACAGCCCCAAGGCCTGGGAGCCAGGCTGGGGCCCTGCCCTCAGGCGAGAGTCCTGTTCCCTGGCAGAGAGTTACTGCTAGCAGGCAGGATGTTCTGGTGTTCTTCCCCACACTCGCGGCGAGCATCTGCCCGATTGTTAACTGTGCGTCTAAATTGCGTTTAATGGTGGTGTTTGGTGGTGAAAATACTAATTTGCAGTTTCTTTAGATTTTGTAGCTTTCACGCGCGTTGTGCCAGCTGACAAGTACTTCTTGTCTAAGAGGACTTTCTGAAAGCCACATTGAGATACAAGGGGCGTTTGGAAGAAATGTTCTAGCTAAATTAAGGAGAGAAGCAAGTTTGGAAATTTTTTTTTTGGTTGCTTTTTTTAATGCTTTGCTTTCCCACCCCATGTCGACCCAAAGCTCCCTGTTGGCAGTTTTTTGTATCCTTCGAAGTCGTTTGTAATTCACTAATGACCACATCTTCTCAAGGTCCCTCCATAGTGGGAGGCCACACTGCCCTCAGGAAGCGGCCTGTCCTGTGGGGACTAGGCCTTGTGTGGTCACAGCTGCTGCCCTTTGGTCACTCTAGGTCCACCTAGGCCGGACTGTGGATGGTGCTGACCTTGATTTCAACCCCCGTTTGTGTAGGTCATAAAACCCCGGCGTAAGTTGGCGTTCCGCTCAGGAGAAGCCCGCGACTGGAGTAACGGGGCTGTGCTACAGGTCAGAACTGCAGTGCTGGGAGCCCCCTGCGCCGCACCACCAACCAGCCCTCCACCCCAGACTGTGACCACGTCAGCTGCCTGCGTGTCTGTCTGTCTCTATTTCCTTCCCCTCCCCTCTTGGTATAACTTACCTGGTCTCCTGATTTTGGACTTTAGGGACCCCATGTGGGTGGGAAGAGGTCGGCCAGAGCAAGGAGAGGCTGCACTGAGCGTCTCGCCCTTTGCGCCCCCTTCCCCACGTGAGCCATCACACCCTCTTCTCCACTGTAGGCCTCCAGCCAGCTGTCCCGGGGCTCGGCCACGACACCCAGAAGCGTGCTGCACACATTCAGTCAGTCACCCAAACTGCAGAATGCAGCCTCAGCCACAGCCCTCGTCAGCAGGACTGGCAGACATTCCGAGAGAGCCGTGAGTGCCGGCAAGAGCAATGCCACCTCCAACTGGAAGAAGGCACCCCTGAGTACAGGTGGGTGGCCTCTGCAGGGCTCAAAAGTAGGGATCTTGCCATGGTTGGGTCTATCCCTTCTTTATTTTTAACGAAGATGTGCATACACACAGGTTGAAGGGAAATGGCACAAAGGGCCCTGAACTCCCTGGCCTGCTCCCTGACCCTCATGCAAAATCTCTTTTGTTTACTAAATAGGACACCTTGAGCAAGTGCCAGCCCTGGGTAGATGCTGATTGCCCTCGCTATCTTCACGCTTTGTACCAAAACTCTCAGCCCTTGACCCGAAACATAGGGCAGACCCAGTTCAGGCACTGTCACCCCTGCCATTCAGTGGACTCCTGTCATCGTAGATGCTCACCTTGACAACTCATGTGCGCCCCCTCCCCTCCGCCATAGGAATGCCTGTTAGTGTTAGGTTTTGCCTTTCCTGCTGCACTAACTCTGTTACTTGCTCAGCCAGTGTCTTTTATTCCCTGCTTTATGGCATATTCTCTTTCCACCTTCTACGTTGGATAGGTCAAGTGGTGAAAAGTGTGAATAAAACAAGAATGCAGGGAGGGGAAGAGTGTCCCTGGGGTGGAGACTGAGATTTTAATTGAGGTTGGCAGCAAAGGCCTCTGAAGAACGACCCAGGAGATATGGAGACCCTCAGGTGGAGGATTTTCAGCCTTCTACAGTCCCACCACCATCCTCGGTCATTCTGTTTTTTATTTTATTATTTTTTAAAATTTATTGGGGTGACATTGGTAGTTTTAGGTGTACAGTATTATATCATTTATATGCTGGCATTAAGATGAAAGTTGGGTATTTCTTGTGTCCATCAGAAATGGGAAAGTGAACGGTAGGCATAAAAGGCTGAATGAAGAGGAGTGAGCACTCCTTGTGGGAACGAGTACCTGCCACACCCCTGTAGGAAGAAGGGGCGCCATCATATGATGGACCCCAGTCAGACTTGGGAAAGCTGGCCCGTCTATGCAAATGTGAAACACAGGAGCCCACTGTGCACGCAGCTGACCATGGATTAGAGACATGCCCACGTCTCAGAGCTTCCCTCAGGAGAGGAGCTCAGGGAAGGGAGAACGTTTGTCCAACTACAGAAGAATTAGGGCCACCTGGAGAGTCGAGAGCATTTGTAAACAATACAAGCAGAGAGACTTTTGCTCAGCGTGGGTAAGATACAACTAAGAACTCACAGGCTGGTCAGGAATTCCTTTCCTGGGAAATTTGAAGGTATATGAAGTGATAGCAACCATTTGAAAACAATGTATGCACTAAAGGGTAATGTTTGAAAGGGAATCCAAAGGAATAAATAGTTGCTGTGTTCAACTGTTGGGTCAGAGGCAAAAGTGTCAAGGCTTAGAAGCTTCACTTCCCAGGAGAATTTTGCCAGCGGTTACCCTGGGTTTCTGGGTGGTGAGTTGAGGAAAACTGGGTGGGATCTCGTTGGCAGTGCTGCCCCAAATGCTCAAGGAGGGCTCCCGAGTGCATTTGACCTCAGGACCCTGTTCCACAAAGTATATCAACGTCCACCTGAAGTACTGTTGGAGTAATGCAGTGACTCTGGGGGGCCTTGCTGTAGCTGTGGATCTAGGGCAGTCCTTATGCTAGGCCGGCCAAAACCTTAGTGTGTTTATGTGTCGGGGTCATTTCTTCATTTTCCAGTTACTAAAGTGAAACTTGTTCATTGGAGATATTTGGAGAATATAAAAAGAGAGGGTGATGGCAATGGCGGGTACTTTCTACCCCAAAAGAACAAATGTAGCACTTAGGACCTTTCCTCAATCTGCCTCTTCACTTGAGTGTCATGTGTGTCTAGTGTCCTACAGAGGGAATCATGCTGTGTTCACCAGTCTGTGTCCCTCTGAATAGTTTGAATGTTACCTTAGCACCTTTAATGGCTGCATAGTATTCCATCATACTGATTTTCCAGTTTCCCAGTTTAGTCATTTGTGATTTTTCACTGTTCTAAACTGCACTGTGGTGAACACCTCAGTTTACAAACCCTCAGAGAGCTGATGGAATCTCTTACCATGGCAGAGTCTGGGAACATTGTGAAGGTGATTGAGTTATTTCATAAATTCTCTTTGGGTCTGAGACTGGGATTTTAACCACCCAAGCTCCGTTGGCCCCGCTGAGGCTGGGGTCCTCTTGGCAGTCTCTGCCTGACTGGAGCTATCTCAGCATGTTGCTCTGTTCTGTTGCAGGTGGGGCCCTTGCATTTGTCAGCCCAAGCTTGGCGGTGCACAAGACCTCCTCCGCGGTGGACCGCCAGCGGGAGTACCTCCTGGACATGATCCCGCCACGCTCCATCCCCCAGTCGGCCACGTGGAAATAGTGTGAGCCTGGCCCAATGGAGAACAGGCTCCCACCTCCCTCCCACCTGGCCCGCCACCCTCCGCTCAGGAAGACACCCTGCTCCCTGAGAGAGTGAGCAAGCGTCAGCCATGCTGCAGAAGCAAGAGCTCCGTTCTTGGCTGCGAAGTCTTGTCGCCACAAAGTCTCATCACGGCTGCGGGGCTGCTTCACAGGTGGATGAGGATTATCACTGGGGGACCTTTCCCGTGGGCTTTCCTCCTTTCTTTGCCTTTAGTTTGCCCAACACCAGCAGAAAAGCGGACCTCGGGGGCTAGTTCTGCTCCCACCCTCCCCTTCAGCCCCCACAAGGCGCACAGGCAGCCTGGACACTGTGACACAACACACTAGGGCAAGACTGGCGCCGGGGCTTCTGAAGTTGAGCGGAGCATTCTGTTTTATTTTTGCTTTTTCCCGTCTTAGCTTCCCAATCTTTGACTGCCTTCCTTCACGGCAATCTCTAGGTTGACAGATTTTTTTTTTTTAATCACCTCACAATGATGGAGTTTAAGTAAACCGTGCAGACCCAGGGGTTCTGTCAAGCACGGCCCCCATGACCCAGAGGGTGGGCCGATGAGCAACCAGCCCTCGCTCTCTCCAGCGGAAGGCCTGTGCTGCTGCTCATCCAGGAAACCCCCGACCTCCCACACTTAGCAGAAGAACAAACTGCAGCCCAGACCCAGCTACAGAGCCCGGGATCCTGGAAGCTGTGCCGTTGCCTGCGGAGGAGGGTGGAGAGAACTGGCAGCAACGTCCAGAGCCTGAGCGAGAAGTTGGAGGGGCAGGCTGTTGTGTTTTTTTGTTGTTGTGGTTTATTTTATTAAATTTTTTCCTTTTCTTTTCCTACTTATTTTGATGGACATCATCCCAAGCTGCCCTGGCCTGTGCTCCCGTTAGGTGTATCAGGTGGGGAGGCATCCCTCCCCCGCTACAGACTTCAGGGTTTCCGTTTGGGTCTAGTTTAGAACCTTCCCTTAAAGCAGGGCCATGCCGCCAGCGTTCGCCTTTGGACTTTTTTTTTTTTTTTTTAATCCTCTTTAGAGTCTACAGAAATGTCTTACAAAGGATCAGGTCTGCTCTTAGTTGTGTTTCATTTTGGTTTCTCCCACTCCTTAAAAATTGGTTCCATGAGGAAAGGCAGAAGCTGTCCTGTGTGTGCTGTACACGGGGCTGGCTCCATGCTGATGCAAGGGCATCCATGTGTGCATGCACATGTGTCATTGTGGAGATGGAGTATGCCGCTCCCCACTTCAGCCCCAGTCCTGGTTTTCCTGTCCATGCAGTTAGGGACTTAATTTAAAACCCTTATTTTGTAGGGCCGCCTTCTCGAACACACTGCTTCAACATTCTAATAAAGGCTCATTTAACCCCCTCTCATGTTGTGTGAATATCAGTGTTTAGAAAACATTTTTGACATGCGGTAGAAGACCTAGGTAGAAGACCTAGTTTTGCAAAATGTTCTAAGTTTTTGTTGTGTAAAACCCCAAATTTCTCATTGATTTTTGTTTTGACTAGATGGGCTGAAGGAGGGGAGGGCAGGGAAGGGTGGCTTTCATTACCAGATCCAGGGATTTGGGGGGAAAGAGGGAAATTGACATTCAGGAGTGGGGGGAAAGGGTGTGATTTTACACCAAAAACTCAAAAGTATGCAAGCGTTTCTATTCCTCGCATTTTTCTGTGTGCCTGGCAAATAAATATCTGTCTTATACTACCTTGAGCTGTTAGCCCTCTCTGTTCAGTGACACCGGCCAGACTCCAAATCCTCCAACAAGGAGCGCTCAGCTGGCCACTCCCAGCAAATAGGCCTCAGTCCTATGTAGTAACAGAATCAGGTGTCCAGGCCAACGTCACCTCTGCACTGGTGGGATGCTGTAGGGTTGTCACTTTCCAGCCAGGGTTGACTGGGTCTGTGACTGGGGGGCACATGTTTGCCCCCAAGTCCCACCAAAACCTGGCTTATCACTGCACTCAGGAACCACCTCTCCTCCCCTCTCCACCTCATCTCTCCTTGCCAGACCACCTCTGGCAGAGGATGGGACAGTGAGGCTCTGGTTCTGCCTTCTCCAGCCCAGCATTCCCAAGCACATTCTCATCAGAGATGACTTAACTGTGCTGGAAACAGCTTTTTAAGAAGGGACAAGAATGTGAGAAGCTCTCATATTTAGTTCATTCTACTGTCTCAAATTTCCCCCGCTTTTCTTTAGTTTCTCCCTTTGCGGTGTAACTTCTGTAACAATCTCCAAATGGGTGGTTGTGTGATAAACGTTAAGATCCTACAGGAAAGACATTATTAAATCCCTTTCTAGGTGGGGTTTGAATATACTAGGAAAGGATGTTAACATTAAGGGTGTTCTTCCAGCAGCAAAGCTCACCCCACTCAAGATCTGCTACAGTGCTTGGGGCCTCGTCTCCCCATGGGTGCGTTGGGTCTGAGAGGACCTGGTTCTGAGGAGCAGTGAGAATGTGGGAGCCCTCAGGCCCAAATGGCAATTTATAATAGCCCCTTGTTATCTGACGCAAAACTCTGACAGCAACTAGAAACTTAAAATGGCCACTCTGTGGAGTGGGGTGGGAGTTTACAAAGCTTATTCCTTCCCTGTTTTGGTGGGAGAGCAGGTTTAAAATGGCCAAGTGCACATGTATGTGCGCAGATAGACACATGTCCCCTTAGAGCCATCCATGGCTCTGGGCCATCTTGTCAATGTCATGGGGACTTTGGTCTCAGTATTCCAACTGTGATGCTGGGACCCACACCTTTGACAAGCAAGGCCAAGGATGATCCTTCTCCAGAGTGCCTTTAGTCCTGTATGTCCTCTTAAGAAGCAAAAATCTCGCCCCAGGGCAGAGGAAATGAAAGAGGCAACTGAGTGCAGCCCTGCTACATGTCCCACATGTCACTCCAGTGGATGGAGAGACATGAAGTTTTTTGTACAAGTAATATAAACATTCTCATCACAGGGGTGTAAATAGAAAAGGTGGTCCTTACTAATCTGCCACAGGGTTTTTCTTTGATGCCGAGTTATGCTGCATATAACATTTGCCTAAAGGACTTGGACTGAGCTTTTTTAGACAGCTGTTTTATAATCCTTAAAAGTGTAATAAACGGTTACACTAGTGCAGGTTATTTGGGAGGTGGCTTTTTTTTTTTTTTGAGGGGGGGGTCACTTGTATTTATTGTGACTAAATCTTTGATAATGTAAAAGTTGACCACTAAACCAGAATAGAAGTTCCAATAAACAGGTTGGAATCAATGGCTATACGTGGTGTCAGGAAGTTTAAGAATCTGAAAGACAATAAAGAAATGGACTATGTGTTTGTTGTATTTTTCTTTTGTCCCCTTGGCCCTGGTTTACCTGCATTATTTCGTCCCAGCTTTGGGGCAGGTTGGAGACTCAGGGAGGTGCAGCAAAGGATGAGACATCTTGGGCTTCTTTCAGACTTCACTTCTCCTGGAGTAGTCCTCTCCAACTGGGCACCGTGGTCTCACTTCTTTACAAGGCCTGGGACTTTGTGACCTGGGGGAGTGTGGTGACAGTCTCTTAGCCCCTTCTAGCCTCCACCCTGGAGTGGTGGGTTTTTCTGGAGTGCTTTTCAGGCTTGGCTCCACATTGGGTGTCTTTGCTGCAGCACATGCTATTACAGATGTGGGTTCTAAGTACAGACGGAGCTACCTAGCCAGGCCCTGAAATGAACAATCACTGGTGAAAATTTGTTTTCAGAGGACACAATTCCAAATTTTACTTATTGTGAGACCTGTAATCACTTTGGTAGCGTTACCATTGTTTTCCTAGGTGCTTTTATTTTTGTTGTTGTTGTTGTTG